TTTTTGAAATTTACTATATTTATTGTTATCTTTTTTTTTTTTCTTTTTAAAGTCATCATGATTGAGCTAATCTAAATAGCATTAAATTTTATGCTATTTACATTTCCTCAACCTTGAATATTGATGCTGTTTTTGATTACTTAAATGTGAGAGATAACATCAAATATATGTATAAATAGCATATAATTACATTAAAAAATAATTGAAACTATAGTTCCTAAATCCATTTGTGTTAGCTTATCTTCAGCAGATGTTACTTCTTCCTTCCAAATAATCATTTCTTAAGTTGCCATTCTTACATTTGCCCCATATTTATCTTCTTATTCTCATCTTTGGCTATTAACATTAACCATTTGTGTTAGCTTATCTTCAGCAGATGTTACTTTTTCCTTCCAAATAATCATTTCTTAAGTTGCCATTTTTACATTTGCCCCATATTTATCTTATTCTCATCTTTGGCCATTAACATTAATTTTTTTTGCCTAATAGTCCAATCCTTACAAAATAGCCAACACTACTTTAGTATAATGTGTCACGACATTTTTTTTCATAAAATTTATATCCCCATTTTATTTTTTTTTCTCTAGAATAGACTTCAGATATTTTGACTCATCACACCTAGCTATCTATCATTTATCTTATGATAGCAATGGTTGCTTGTTGTTAACATCGTACTGATTGGCACTTACATATAATCTATTCCATCACTTATATATCAGTCTCAAGCATTTTATTTCTATCTATCATTTATCTTATGATAGCATTGGTTGCTAGTTGCTAACTTCGTACTGATTGGCACTTACATATAATCTATTCCATCCATCACTTATATATCAGTCTCAAGCCTTTTATTACAAGCATTTTATTTTCTAAATATTCCTCTCTTAATATAATTTATATTTCAGGAAGTCTCATTGATTTTTATCATTTGTGAGAAGCATTCATCAAAATATTTGAGTTTTGATTCCCTTTTAAGAATCCCAATACTTTGATATAAAAACATAATTGACTCATTATTAATCTTTAACGTATTCTTAACCATAATTAGAAAATCTTTGATTGCTTTATAATTGCTTCTATGATTAGTTGATGCTCCATCATTCATATCTTGAGAAGCCTAATTATAGATTAGAAAACACATTTTTTTTCCATACTTCAAATTTTATTAATTCTCATGGCAGCAATCATATGCCTTCTTAAAATTAATTAAAAAAAAATATGAATATGTAATGCTCCATCATTCATATCTTGAGAAGCCTAATTATAGATTAGAAAACACATTTTTTTTCCATACTTCAAATTTTATTAATTCTCATGGCAACAATCATATGCCTTCTTAAAATTAATTGAAAAAAAATGAATATGTAATTTTTTGCTTTGTGTATATTTTTATTAACTTAACAAAATTTTATTATATATTGGATCTTCAGGGTACGCGACTGAAATGATTTCTAAATGATAAAATAAAATTTGTTTAAGTGTTATTTTATTATGCTGCCATAACGTCATTTTGACTTAAATATTTATACCAATTTTTTTATTTATTATTTATTTTTTAAATCGGTTCATCTACAGTTAGGGTTTAGGGTTCATCTCTTTTTTCATTCTTAAATAATGACACCGAAATAATTTTTCTAATAATTTGGTGTTTCTCTAGTATTTATTATTTCTCCTAACCTCCTAATTTCAGTATATTTCTTACATGGACTGGCTCTTCATTTTTTTGCATATTGTTTATAGTTAACTTCCCTTCATTTTTTCATTAATTCTATAACATTTCTATTATTGTGTTCACTATGTTATTTAAACTTTTTTTTTTCAAAATAAAACCGCTTAATAATTTCTTAAAAGTAGCATTAATATTTTCTTTAAATTTTTATTTTTAAATATGATCTTATTGCCTTTACTTACTAACTTGATCAACCTCTCCTTTTTGTTTTACTATCTTTTAAGTTCTCTTTTGTAGGAAACTTTTTCTCCTTCATTTGCATCTAGCCTCTTATATAAATGTTGTCATAAGATGAAGCTTTTGATTTTCTTAATGTTATCTTTACAAGTTTTTAATATTTCCTTTAACCATTTTTAAATTCTAGGGAAATTTATATGCATACCACAAAATTCCTTTGTATTTTACCTATCCAACACCTAAGGTTTTATGTTTACATTAACACTTTGGTGTCACGAATCTATGCATGAAAATGTGTACTTCACTTTTAAAAAGTTACAAGTACTGGTATTTTTAATGTTATTTTAAAGATTAAAGTGTTACCTGACATACATGCCCCCCTAAATTCTAATGAGAATCCTAGAGAGTGGGTTGAGCGTATTTCCTTTTAATACATTCAAAATCTATACAATATTAGAAAAAAAATATAAATGATCAAAATTAACTATAAAATTATTATAAATTTTATGAATTGATGAACAGGTCATAAATAATTCATGAGATGATGAATTAGCGATTGAAGAGGAGCAAATGACTGGGAAGTCTTGGTAAGCGTGGGTCCCTCTTAGAACAAAACTAGTAGGTGCTGGTTGGCAGAGGTTTAATGTATGCTATCAGCAGGTAGAGTAAGCTGACGGTGGATCCTTGGGTGTAAATTTTGTGGTGTTTCATACTACCCCCTCAAGGGAATGAAAAATAGAATCTATTTTAAGCTTGTTTGAAAATTTTTAAAATATCACACTAAATAATTTTATATGAAAATGTCAATAAATTGTCACCTTGTGGTTATGAACAGAGTACTGATTAGACAGAATATTGATAAGCTTTGCTTTTATACAATGCCTTTAAATTCCAATGTATTTCATATAGCCTTGTTAGACGATATTATGGATAGTATTGAGGGCTTACTTGTTTTTCTAATTAGAGTCTCCTTTCAATTTAACCTTTAAATATTTTACTGTTGCCACATCAATTCACAGGTTTGTAGTGCTATGGATATAAATTTTTCTTTTGTACTAGATTTTACTAACATTTTTTTATTTTTATTTCTCCAAGTAATGAGGCAGCTTTCTAAGAAAGTGATTTTCTCAAACTGATATCTTGACAACCATAGTATATGAATATTTTGCATGTGGGTATGTTAGCCTTCTCTTTTTGAATAAAGTTTTAGTGTTTAGAGTTTTATTTTATTTTTTTTGCTCTAAGTTGTGATTCTTTTGGATTGTATATGTATTAACTTACAACTAATAAATTGATATGGCTTCTCATGAATTTTTAT